CTAATCTTCGTTTGGATTACACGTCGTTGTTATGCAATAGAGAAGACATTGGCTAGTGCAAGTACGATTACCATAGAACCGGACAAGTAACCGTGGTAAATAGATACTCGAGAAACTAATGACAATGATCCTAGGTTCAATAACGAATCCGCGGACAACGGGATGGTACTCGTACGCACTCGCAAAAATCTAAGTCGTATTCTTTGTTAATATTCACTGACCGTTAGGCGTTAATCTTTTTGTCGATGAGATCGCAAGTTGATATTCACTGACCGTAAGGCGTTAATCTCTTTTTGTCGGTAAGGTCGCAAGAGAGAATGACTTTCCGTCCCGGTGACACCCCAGAGGAAAACTATGACGGGGTGTGTCTAAGGACACGAGATCATCGGATTCGTCCGGGATATCACACGTTCGGAAACTAAGGGAAATTGACGTTGCTGATAATTGGCCAATCTCCATATCGATAGTTAGAAAAGGATGCTAGCTGCCCTTGAGGGAGGGTTGCTACTGGGAGACGTCGTTCGTGGGAAAGTAGGTTTCTCCTGTCTTCCTGTAACTGGGACTGTTTATCTGTTGAAGGATTTTAGGTAACTAGATATTAGTGTTTATAACAGTCCTCGGGCTAGCCGATCACGTACTGCGGAGACGCGTCGGCATCTGGTAGACATCCTGCCCGGAGAATAGGATCTGCGTGTGGCGAGCTACGGGAGAGAAACCGTTGGAATGTTTACTGCCACCTGCCGCTACAAATCTTTCTTTTAAGGAGAGCTATAGGGTTACTCAATGCCTTTGTTAGACGGAGAGTTCGTCCCGTTGACCGCTGCTACGTTCCCCTGTTTCGGTTAAGATAACAGAGGTGGTTTAATGAATGTAACAATGTATTAACAGGTTAACATAGAATGATATATTTTATAATAATATGATGAATATGTTACAGAAATTTGACTCGACTTTGCGATATCTCTAGATAAATTCGTTTGCTCGTCAGATTTGTCGAAGTGTCACGTTTGACTCGTCAGAAGGAACTGATCGCCCTTCGATTATTCATTTGTCTCATTTGGAAGACGACCCCCACTATGCTCGGGTCACGCCACCGCATGCGCCTATGATCACGCATGCCTCTTGTTATATCGTGCGACATTCTATCTAAGCCAGGCCACACACCGCAGACAGGATGGCGACCAGATGTTCGCACGCCTTCACTGCGTACCTTCAATAGTCTTAAGAGCCAATCATAAATCTTAGAGGAATTTCTGAGGTCCTTCAGACCGAACCAAACATCTGCACTAAGTCACTGTCTAAAGGTTATTGTTTACTACGGAAAGATAGGAGAAGTTCGTCTTTCTCATGTACGATGTTTTACACTAGCAACTTTCTTTCGAGGCGGTTAACATCGATGTTTTACACTAGCAACTTTTTCTCGGGGCGGTTAACACCCTTCCTCCACTCTTCCACACCAATCCAGAAAATTAACCTATTACCAGAGAAGTCCTTCCCTCACTCTCCCAACAAGAACTTGGCCTTAACAAATCAGATTTTCTCGCATCATTAGACCCACTCATCGCAAGTTTCCTTCGCTGCATCATCGTTAGAGAAAGTCAGTCATTACACGTTTTTTGAACCTTCAACATCTAAGCGTGCGTCGCGTACAACACCTTGTTACTCTAGCTATCAATCGAATTAATTGTACATTTCTAGTTAAGAAGTTGTTGGAATAAACATTAATTGTATTCGTTAATTCAGTGTAAAATCAATTTAACCATCCCTATTATCGCAAACGAAATCAGAGGATCGATCACTTTGTGGCGTCGATTATCCAATCGTAACGGGAATTTACGACTCTCGTTGACGTGCTTCCTCACGATCGTGTCTCCCCGTGAATGGTCGAAACATTTTGGACCTTCGAACCGGATAACGTGTCAGTGAGAGGTGTACTTGCCAGTGACCACACCATGCCACTTGAATACATTAAACCAGCAGCGGGAGTGTTATCACCATCACGAAGCCAGTGACGTCAAGTGTGTCACATTCGAAGGAGCACAACCCATTATCAAAGGAACTCAACTACGCAGCCTCCCGCCACAGCTGGGCGAGTATCAAACCAACGAATTCCACAACGTAATAACACAACCAAACGAGTGGCCGTCGGGGAGGAACGAGGCGTTCCTCGCCAAGTATACACGCGACCTCACGCCGCACGACAGTAAGGTAAGCTCGTTCCTTATATCGACCATCTCCTATCCTCGGCAACGATAGCAAGCGAAGACCAACTCATCTCCCTGCGTCGGAGACGAGGCTATTGTAACGGCCGATTCACATACGTATCGGACCGACTGGACGAGTACGAGCAATCCGAGAGTCAGCAAAACTCCTTATTAACGAACTACGAGAAACAATTGACCGAAGTTATGAGTCAATTCGAAGCGATCCAACTCGAGTTAGAAGTATTAGACGAAGAGGAACAAGCGCGCGGCTTCGAAATAAGGGATCAGTACGTCGCGGTAGACATAAAGCTACAAAATCTTCTAAGGAAGCGCAAGCAGCATCGCCGTCGACATCCATAAACCTTCCAACCTGTGCATCATCCGCTAGTTCAAATCCGATAGCTATTAAGTTACCAGATCTTCAGCTCCCTACTTTCGACGGAAGCTTAGAGAAATGGAACACGTTTTATGACATTTTTTTCCACCATCGATAAAAACCCTAATCTCACGGAAGTACAGAAATTTCATTACCTGCAGTCCGCCCTGCAAGGAGAAGGAGCGGATTGCTTAAACGCGTTACCCCTTAGTAATATAAACTACAGTCTGGCTATAACGGTTCTTAAGAAGAGTTTCGAATGTCCACGATACACAGCTGTCAGTCACGGCATGGCAATCATTGATTATCCAAAGTTAACCAAAGAATCTCCAACGGAATTAAGGCGCTTAGTACACACATTCAAACAGCACTTATACGCGTTAAACAAATTAGGAGACTCTTACCCCGATACCAGCGCCGTACTTAACAGCCTCATTCTATCGAAAATACCACCAAGAATCCAAAAATAATGGGAAATGACGCTGCCTACTAAGGAGCTACCTCCGTATATTCAGATATTGAACTTCCTAGAGAGATTAGCACGAAGCTCCAGACCGATCACCACGGTCAAACAAACAAGAGAATCACCGGAACAAACCACTCCGGTCCGTCAACGCGCACCACGAGGGCATGCATTTACGGCGACACAGGTTACTCCGACATGCCCCACCTGTTAAGGACCACTCCCCATTTGAAGGTGTGACACCTTCAAAACCAAATCCCTTCGTGAACGCATTCGGGAGGTCAAAGGAGCATCATTATGCCTCAACTGCCTCGGGAAAGGGCACACAACAAAACATTATCTCGCGGGGTCACGCCGCGTCTGCGGTGAACGACATCATACGTTGCTGCATAGAACAAAACACTATTCAGAATCTCGCTCCAGCACGCCCAGCCCGAAATCTTCCCCATCAAATAGTCGATCCACAACACCCTCTTTGCCACACTACTCATCACCCACTCGTCGCAAAAGGCACACAACAGACCACAGATCGGAACCATCGCGAACAGCCGCGTCTACAAGTCCACCTCCCAGTGACAGACGAACACATAACCAATGACGCCGACGATCGAAGACTCCGTTGACGACCGAACATACCAGACCAGCACCGTCCGAGTCACTATCCAATGATCTAGTCACCACAGCGCAGATTAACGTTTTGAATGATAAACGGCAACCAATCCGTTGTCGAGCGTTGCTCGACACCGGACACCGGATCTAGTATGAATTACATTACCGAGGAATTAGAAAAATCGCTAAAAAATAAAGCTCAACAAATGTTCGGTCCCAATCGGAGCTCTAGATACCTTGACGACGACCACTAAGCGACACACCACGGCCACGATCACTTCCACTGACGGCACATACACACGGACATTAACGTTCCTTGTCATTCCGACCATATCAATCTTAATTCCAAGCGAACTCATCGATCGTTCGACACTTGAGATACCAAAAAATTTCAAATTGGCCGATCCACGATTTCATTTACCAGCTCCGATCGATGTGTTACTAAGCTCAGGTTCAACACTCGCGTCGATGTGTGTGGGACAAATCAACCTAACGCAACCAGACGAGCCTGAACTGCATCTGCAAAAAACGCGATTCGGATGGGTAATTGGGGGGAGTCCAACTTCCCAAACCGCGAAAAATACATTTCACACACCCACGACGACTCTACAAGCAGACCTCGCGCGGTTTTGGGAAATTGACCCTCGATTACACATATCTCAGAGGCAGATCAACGATGCGAAGAACACTTCCAAGCCCATATCCGACGCACCAGCGAAGGACGTCGCTCTACCATTCAACGATCAGCTTCAGTCACCCGGATCCTCTAAAACGCTAGCAATTAAACGACTTGAATCATTCAATCACCGATTCCAGCACGATAAACGCTTCGAATCAGAATATCGAACGGTAATACAGGAGTACCTGACATTGGGACACATGACGAAGGTCAATGTCAACCACTCTGACGACAACGGATACTATTTACCCCATCATAACGTGATCAAAGCATCGAGTCATACCACCAAACTCCGTGTAGTTTTCGACGGATCGGCACCAAGCACTACCGAAATCTCCCTAAACGATACACTTCACACAGGACCAAAGTTACAGGAAGATTTATTTTGCATACTAATTAGATTCCGCTCTCATCAATATGTACTCACTGGCGATATCGAAAAAATGTATTGGCAATTCCTCGTACTACCAGAGGATCGGAAATATCAAAAGATATTATGGCGCGGCTCGAGTGGAGAAACAGAAACATATCAGCTTAACACTGCAACGTTCGGTTTATCCGCAGCGCCGTATCTAGCCATTCGGTGCCTCAAGCAACTGGCAGAGGACGAAGGACATCGATTTCCACGTGCAGCGCAGGTACTGCAGCGGGATTTCTACGTCGACGACGCTCTTGTCACGTAATTTTTGGGGTTAGTTGATGAAAATAAAAAGTAGTTGAGTCGTAACACAACTATCGTCTTTATTTCACAGCACAGGTTTACATAGATTGGAGAGATGTTCACTGTTCGGTAGTTTTATCTATTTCTCCCCAGGTGTTTTCGTCTCATTACGGAGGAAAGCTCGGTGTGGGTGCGCCCTTTTTAATTAACAACGCGGATTCGCTGTTCGCACCTTCCGTTAGGAAAAGTGAGGGTAACGATCCACGATGCCAATTGGTTATAAGTCATGAAAATAGGAGGAGAAAGCCATCTTCCAGCGCGGCTAGTAGGTAATATTGTTTATGGGAAAAACCAGCTTTTTCGTTAGTCGAGTATTGGGTTTTTCCCATTAAGTAACTACCTACTTTCCCGTAATTAGTAAGGACGTATAACAACCTAAGGGCTGTTTCAAGGACCATCCATAAACAGATAGCAGAAATAATAAACTTAAAAAGTTTAGGTTTATGATGGGTCCTTGGGGTAATTGAGGGTACGGACTGAAGACCTGCATACATCCTGCCTCTAATGTGAAGCGACGTTACACTCTCACCGGAGCTGTGACGAGGGACGAAGCACTCACGCTTAGAACAGAACTCACCAATTTACTTCAACTGGCCGGCTTAAACATACGAAAATGGGCATCAAACGACAACAACTTATTACACGGACTTTCCATAGAAGAAACAAATCATCAACACTTTTTGGGCGGTTCGCAAACCTTGAAGATGCTGGGGGTGTTTTGGAATTCATCCGACCACTCCATTCTTTACTCGGTTGAAGTCAAACCCACGCCCTCCCGAGTCACGAAACGAATCATCAGCTCGGAGATCGCAAAAATCTACGATTCGCTCGGTCTGCTCGCACCGGTGATTGTTCGGGCCAACATGCTGCTTTAACGAATATGGTCATCGAAAATCAATTGGGATGAATCAGTTCCGATCGAGTTACATACAGAATGGGACAGGTACTACGCCCAATTACCCTTATTAAACAACATCAGGTTCCAACGCAAGGCAATAATGAAGTCGGCAACGGAAATTGAATTGCATGGTTTCTGGGATGCTAGCGAAAAGGCTTACGGAGCCTGTGTTTATCTCCGAACCCTTAACACTAACGGCCGTGTTTGGACCCAACTTTTAATCGCAAAATCGAAAGTCGCCCCACTCAAGTACCAGACCATTCCTTGGCTCGAGCTGAGCGCAGCACTCCTTCTTACGTCCCTGATGTCGACAGTACAACGCCCTATCGCACAAAATTACTCAAACTATCTATTGGATCGATTCCACTATCGTCCTCCATTGGCTCAATACATCACCTCACACTCTTAAAACATTCGTCGCTAACAGAGTCTCCGAAATTCAAATAAAAACCAGTATTCGCGATTGGCGCCACGTTCCAACCAACGACAGTCCCGCGGATTTAATATCACGCGGCCAAACACCCGAAAAGTTTCTGTGCCCAACCATTTGGCAGCACGGTCCTGCATGGCCCTACAAGTCGGAAGACTACTGGCCGACATAGGCGCTAACAGCGCAAATTGAAGTACCGGAACAGAAAGGGGCGATTTGTCTGTCCGCAAACCCCGCCGATTACAGTTTGTTGCACAGACATTCATCCTGGCTCAAGTTGACCGAGTTTCTCGAGTATCTAATTACCACGGTTACTTGTCCGGTTCTATGATAATCGTATTTGCACTAGCCAATGTCTTCTCTATTGCATAACGGCAACGTGTAATCCAAACGAAGATTCGTTTTACGCCCCTAACCCTAATTCTAATGTAAACCCGACATATATGTCGGAGATAAGAGGACACCGATGCCTTCCCTCCAAAACCTCGGGTAAATCCATAGAAACATTGTAATTAAAATCTACAGTTGTAATTAAACGATTTGCCGTCACTCTACCCACTTGTATTTGTTTGAG